ACCACACACCACACACACCACACCATACACACACACACACCCCACACATACACACACACACACACACACACACACACGGAATTTAATTTTTAGTATTTGTTTGCTTGGTTTTTATTTGAATGGCTCTTCATTCTCCTATATAAACACCTTGGAGAACTACTTCATCTTTTTTGTTGTTGTTAATCCTCACCAAAGATATTTTTTCTATTGATTTTTAGAGAGAGTAGGAGGGAGAGAGCGGGAAACAGAAAGAGAGAGAGAGGGAGAAGAGAAAAGAGAAAGAGAGAGAGACATTGATCGGTTGCTTCCCGCACCCCCCGACCAGGGTCGGGGAGCAACCCTGAAACCCAGGCATGAGCCCTTGACTGGGAATTGAACCTGTGACCCTTCGGTCTGTAGGCTGGTGCTCTGACCACTGAGCACCGGCCAGGACAAATTACTTCTTCTTTTGTTCACAACTGCATGCTAGTTTGTTGCAGGAGTATGCCCACATTTATGAACCGTCTCCTATTAACAAACACTTAGGCAGCTTCGATTTTTCCTTATGAATAATAATGCTACAGTGGCATGGCCTCCCCATCCAGATATATCTCTGCCTTCTTGTGGATTTCTGTAGCAATCTGGAAGTAAAATTTCTGGGTTGAAGGGAATATATATTTTAAAGCTGATGAGTAATTTCCTGCCTTCGAACCCATGGAAATCCAACCCCTCCATTTATCACTGGCTGTCCTACCGTTCCCCGCTCGGGTGAAAACAGCCATCACTCATGCCCACAGCACTTTGTGGCACAGCTGGACTAAACGTTCAGTTTCCCACCGAGTGTGGGTGCCTGGAGAGCTGGGGCATCGCAGGGTGGGAAGGCCACTAAGTGGGGGCTAAACCCAAATTCACCTCATCACACCGACGGTCTGGGTCCCATTGGCCCATTTGCTTTGATGGGCACCAGTGATTGAAGGGTGGTCCCACCCCTGGGTGTCACACATCACCAGCCCTACTCCCTCCCTCCCTCCCTCCCTCCC